GCTCTGATCATGTGCAATTTTGTTTAAATATCAACTATTTAGTGTTTTACAGTCTTCAATTAAAGATCATACAAATGAAATAGGTATGAAGGAAATGTTAATGGATTACCTTAATAAACTAAACCAAGTTTTCATTATAATAAATCATTTAGTTACTAAAAAGTTAGTTAAGATTGAGTATTTCGTCAGAAGGAGAAATCATTGGTGGACTCTACAAATAATAGGAGCAATTTGGATATATTGATTGAGATCGGTTCTTTCATATAATACCACCCTTCTACCATGATCACATCTAGCAAGGTGGTCACCACTTTTATCAAACTCAATTGAATAGATTATATCAACTGACAATTTAGTGGACAAACCTAGACTTTCTTGCAATTCGACTTGAATTAGTAATTCATCTTTCTTAATTATGATAGTCAAGATAGACACATCACAAACATACACTTTGGCATCTACTACACTACAAAAAGTCCTGGTCAAGAGGAAAGTCCTCGATGACAGAAATTTGTTAAAGATACGAGCATTTTTCCATTTCCATCTTGTTCTTTCAGGTAATTAGTCTAGGAGATAAAATAAATCTATTTATCCCTGTGAAAAGTGAGTGATTGTTTATCAACCAATGTTCCTGGAGTTCTCCTCGATGACAGAAATCTGGTAGAGATAGGAACATTTTTCCATTTCCAATTCTTTTTCTCTAAGAAAAATAGTTAATTACTTGTTTATATTTATTCCAGATAATAAATCTTATTACGAAAAACCAAGGATTGACAATTACTTTTGGGTAACATCTTTGATTTTTAGAGATAAATATTAATGTTTTCCACATCTTAGTTGGAGTACAAGTTTGATTCTTTTCTCGACTAACTTCTATGGGCAGATTCATCTTGAGAAGAAGGTACCAACTGGGGCAGCACTTGTTCGTGATAGAGTAATGCCGCCACAACTTTATGGGCAGCAAATCAGTTTAGTGGCTGTGTTGCCAATGAAAATGAACTCCAACAATGGTCAGATCAAATTGGTTCGGATGTCCCATTCTTTTTCTCTCATTGCACAGCCTACTGTACAGGTCGAGGTAAGATATGTCTTTTAACCTTCCCAACATATTTCAAGCCAGATTCTTCCAAAATGCTAACCATCTTTGGGTTCATCTGCAAGAATTGATAAGGAAATATGTAGTGTTCGAGATAAGAAAATGCCCATCAAATAGTGACTCTGTTAAGTAACACCAATTAACCTCATATACATGTCGATGTCGTTCATCCAACCAATGCCTATTATAGAAAATGAACTATTTTGCTGGTTCAGTAACACATTCATTGGCTTCCAAATTTCAGTAACTCTGCTCTTTCTCATATTGGAATATGAGGGAAATATATTTTTTCATTCAACAGAATCACAAGGATGTTTTGATTGTGGTTGACTCAGAAAACTATACAGCACTCTTGGAATTTCTGGGAGCAACACAAAATGACCAACAATTTAGAATGAGGCTACCTTGGAAAACTTTTCAGCACGTTGCTTCTTATAATTTTGCATTTTCAGAATGGTTGTGGAAACAGACAACTTGAAACTATCTATTTTAAACTTATGACTCAAAATGTGTTTTTGTTACCAATTGCTTCAATTATTGAATTATTATAGAAACATATTTTTGGCTTATATTCTACTAGATTAATAGTCCTTATCCACTTGTAAACATATTTTCATATCCTAAAATAATATGACTTTGTAAACATTTTTACACACAATTCCGCCAGAGCGAACGTTATTTATATA